GTCTTCAAAAGAGAGATGGCATTTGAAAAAATGCTTGTAAATTATATGTCACAACCTGTCCTTCCTTGCTAATAGCATCAGCATAGCTCTCTAATGCAGTCTGTTTCTGTCATATAAGAGGGAGTTTTTCTCTAGTATTGGATGAGATGAAGCAGTTACAGGGAGAATGCTAATTATATAGGCTAGCTATGAAAAATTGAGACGGGCTCTTTTCAGTGTTGACACATGGGTGCAAAAGGAAAACACCATCAGTGATCTGTTGCAGCATCCCTTTTCCAATAAAGAGAAGCATTTCCCAGATACTTTTTGCTGGCTTACAGTTGCAGTACTCACAACTAGAAGATAAAGAATTTGGAGATTAAAATGCCAAATTGTGTCTACTGCATGCTAGGGTTTACAGTGCTATCTTGCTTCTGGTTTCTTTCTTGTTAAGTTCTTAAAAAGTTCATAAGTTGCCTAAAAATGCTACAGCTTCCCATTACCATATGACATATATAAAATAATTTTAAAATAAACAATGGCCTGGCTGAGAAGGCTTGAGACAGGTGAGTATATGGTATTTCATCTGTGACATGCAGATCTATCTGTACATGTTATAATCCACACTTGGAAATAACTTGCCACGGTGACTCCCTTTGTCTCTGCCAACCCAGTGTGCCTTTCAGCTCTTCCAACCAAAGAAATAAATAATTATCCTGTTTCTCTCCTTTTTTTCAAATGTGTTCTTGTGCCCTGGATATTTTATGTGATGGATACAGGCACAGGCTATCTGTGAAAGTTTATCACAGTGCTGGCTAAATCACGAGTGCAGTGACTTCACAGATGTTTAGGACAGAAAAGTAGCACAATCTTACCAATGATGAACGTTTCATTCATTGATTAAATACAGGAAGAAGAAAATAAAAGAGGCTTTCAAAACATGAATTGTGGCCTTGGTTTTTATAAGGTAGAATTAATAGCTGCTTATTGCAGTGAATAAATTACTGTTGTGATATGCAAAATCCCCCTCAGGAGACAGGCTTGTCAATAGCTTTTCACAAACAGGAACTTTTTCAGAGCACCATCACAAAACCGCTGGGCAAAAAGTGTCCCTTCTGGGAATAGCACGATGCACTCTTTTAGTTAATAGAAGATGGATATTTTAATCCACATGCAAATGACAAAGACAAATTGTTTCCTCACATTGTTCCTCTGAACTGGCTGATGACACAAGTTACCAAATGGCACTCCAGAATCTACAGAAAGACTATGGCAGCGCTCCTTTTGTTGCAAAGAAATTCTCTTTTTTCAATAGCTGCCTGATTACATTGTGAATGATACCATTTTAATTTAAAGCATATCATTGGCTTCATTCTTCCATCAAATATCAGAAATCTTGAAAACCTTCTGGGACACCCTTTCTTCCACAGCTTTTTGGGAGAGGTGCAAAGGTTTTCACACTTTTGTTACTGCTTATATTTTGGACATTTTGATGCAGCTTTTGAAATAATGTGAGTACTGCATCTACCCTCCTGCACTGACACCATCTTAGACAATTATCATCTCGCATCTTAGTGTAACTGAGTGTCTAGCTGGCATACTTCTGTATGGGAAGCCACCTTTGCTATAAATAGATAGTAGTTTAATCACTTCTGTGTTGATGGTCTGGTTCATTCCAACTGCAGAAGTTCAGGAATTGAGATACCTAGATACATTTTAGATTTTTGTCTATCTCTTGAGACTGTAGTACCGCCAGTGGAAACACAAAGACTGACAAAAAAATTGGACTGTGGGGAGGAGTGCTTTTTCTAAAAGGAAGAATAAAAGAGGTAATGATCTGTTATAATTGTATATAATGATTATATCTCTGTGGGTCTAGAAATTTTGAGGGGCATCTACACAAGGGGGGAGGGGGCGTGTCCTAGGCTAGGTTGCACTGCTTGCTCCTAGAAAACCATGTAGGAGTTACAGATGGGAAAACTGTGTCTGCCCTATTGAAAACTGCCCACAGAGCATCCATCAGTAATAGAATAGAAAGAAAGAGGGTAAATAATTTCTTGAAATTGAAACTTTTTAGATTTTCAATTAGGGAATGATGATAACAGCATTAATTGACTGAACCTTTACAAAAGGCTGAACAACGAGACACTAAAAGCTTATGCTGTATGATTATATAGCAATAGAGGGGGAATTGTCATGGATATTCCTCTGCATGGCTTACCTGAAGTGGCTGCCTCCTACTTATTAGCTTTTGTGAGTTTAAGAACACAGATGGCTTCTTTTTGTCCCCTCCTTTCCAAGTCTGGCAGTGCTGAGCTCCAGCTGAGCCGTGGCTTGTCCATATATTTCTCATCCTGTTGCACAGGGACAGGGTGGAAGCACAATGCAACTTTCTGCAGCTCTGCCTGCTGTTTCTGACCTTGTCCCATGGAAAGTCTCAGCATCCCAGTCAGAAATCAAGCAGGAGCTTCCTGGTTCCTTTTGAAGGCAGTATTTCAGAAGTGGCTGACAAAGGGGAGCTCAAGCAAGGCTGCAACAGCTCTAAATGTGCTAGCACTGGAAAAAGCACCTGTTGTAATCACTATGCTGAAGTGGAATAGGTGGCAAATCCCAAACAAGATGGTGTTGGAAAAGTCTGCATCAGCTTGATGTTTCAGGATATGAATTGTGGTGCTGAAGCTTCACTAACCAGATGAAAGCAAGCCAGCTACTTTTGTAAAAGTATGTTGAAAAAATCCACACTTCATGGGTTTTTTCAGTGCTATCTCTGTGAAAATGTAAATCAAATAAGTATATAAAATATTCTGGAATTGCAGAAAATTGATTTTGAGATGCTTTTTCAGAAATACTTGGGACAGACACATTAAATATATTGCCAAAGAAGTGCAATATGTTTTGTAGATTTCCCGCAGTACAGAAGGTGGCACAACACAGCAAACTTCCAGCAAGTTGGAATATTCTTTAAGACGTTGTCTGAATTATAGAAAATTGTCATTTTACAGAAGCTTCTGCTATTTTTCCACTCTCAGCACTGAAGTTCACAGGTCAGGAAAGCCATTACCTTGCTGCTTTGATTATGAGTGCAGTTGTGTAATTCCCCCACAGAGCACTTGCTTAGTTCTGTGTGGTTTATGAGGAATCTCTACATTTCCTGAAACACCTTCAGTTGCCTGATGGCAGCAATTGGCCTCTCTTCATGGATATGGCACTGTTTGACTACTGCCTTTCAAAGACAATTGGGAGGAGGGCTGAATTCCAAACTGAATAAAACTAAGTCATTTCATTAATTCATTGTACAGTAAGAAATTTGTTAGGATGGAGTGCAGAGAGACTCTTGAATGTCAAGCAGGCTTGCCTAATTGTGATTTGTGAAGCTTTAGAAAGAGTTTCCCAAGGGAAGTTGTGGAAGACTTGGTTCTATTATGTGTAAAGCTGCCTTAATTAATCTTGTCTGCTTTTATTTTTAGCGATATGCTTGAAATTATTGGTTTTTTCATTTATAAATTCTAAGGAATTTCAACCTACCTTGATGTATCTCACATACAGAATGAGGTGCTCTGTTAGGTAGTGAGTAACTCTGTCACCTGCAACTTATAGGAAGATAGATAGATAGATAGATAGATAGATAGATAGATAGATAGATAGATAGATAGATAGATAGATAGATAGATATAATGTGGTTAAAGATGTATGTAGTAAAATATGTATCTGGGTCACTTTTCCATCCACTGTTCAGACTTTAATTTAAGCTGAAATCAACTGGGGAGTTAATTGCTCAGAACAAGAACAAGGTGGCAGAATTTTCCAGGTGTACAGCATTTAACCTAGAAAATATAAACTCCATCATTTCCCTACAATGTTTTCACTGACTACTCATTGTGTATATTTTGGGTACCACCAACAATGGAATTTCTGCCTTTTCATTATAAAATCCTTCAGCACCACAGTTTAAAGATTACACTGTAAGGACATGATTCTAAGTTAGTATATATTGAATATAACTTTGATTTCAGTTAAATATTTATTCATTTGCACACTGGCAGAGCAGTTTTCTCTTCTTCCAAGACTCAAACATGCACATATTTTTGAATATGATTAAGGGTTTGGGTTTTTTCCTAAAGAAAGCAACATACTCGGTATTTCCCCCAGTCTAAATTAGGTGGATTCAATTCACATGTTTTGTTCAGTGGAACCTTGAAGCTGCACAAGGCCAGTACCTTTTATTTTTATTTTTCCCCATTTAGTGCCTTGTCATTGTATGGCAGCTTCCAGTTCTCAAACTCATGCTGCTTGAGTGAGATTTTGCTGTGTTCAGATTGAGCTACCCTTGTGTGGCTGGAGCCCCAGTCTGGCATGCTGCATCACACCTGCAGCTGTGAATGTAGAGCAAACCAGGAGACAAATTTTCAGTGATAATAGGATTAGCATTGGGAGATTTAATTCCTTTATCTCTCCAACCCATAAAACATCCATTGTTTCAGTGCTGGCTGGGATTTTCCTTTCAAATCAGATTTCTTTGAAGACTTTGGAAAACTGTTACCTGTGTGTAAATGTGATTAAGCTGATGCTGCAGCTCTTTATTATCTGAGCTATTAAGATTCAAAACCTGAACCAGTCCTGCTATAACAGGAAAACTATTGTAAGAAAGTCAGACATTTTAAGAAAAATGTCTGAATAGATTTGGTGGCACTTTATAATTTGAAAAATAGGATACCGGATTCATGATGGAAAAGTCAATGTTCACCGCTGTTAAATTGGCTTTATCTCTGTCAATTTGCTGTTCTAACACACAGAAAATAGATCTTAGATATTTTTTCATCACCAGAGATAGAAATAGATTTTCTCATATTGAAGATTTTGTTGTGTCTTTTATTGTCTGCAGAAGTTCTGAGATCAAAGAACATGCACTGCACCTAGCAGGAGAATTGTCTTTGTGTTAAACCTCAGCTTGCAAACCATGAAGGGAGTTTTCTACCAGAGTGGAATTGGATTTCAGCACTTGTCCTGCATTTGTCTTTCAGCCTGCCCTCCCTGCTGTGGATGGCTTTGTCTGTGGACTCGGCTTGGTACCGCTGGCAGCGACGGGGAGCTCACAGTCCCTCCCAGGCTCCATCAGAATCAACACCGCTGCTGTTTTCTGTCAGAGCCAAACCAAAACTCAGTCTAAACACATGGAGGATTGTGCTGCCTGACAACGAGAGACAGTGGAAAGGCTGGAAACAAGCTTCTACATTTTATTCTAGAAACAGGATACAGACCACAAAGTACACATGGTTCACTTTTTTGCCCCAAAATCTTCTGAGGCAGTTTCACAGGTAAAAAAAATTCATGCAATCGAGGCACACAGTTTGTGTAATTGGGAGTGGGGCTGGCCCAGCCCCATCCCCAGTGGGCACAGCTGTGAGCAGCAGGTGAGCAGCACTGACAGCAATGAGCCATGGAGTGCCCAGGGGCACTGAGCAACCACCAAAGGGAGCAGAGGCACACAGGGGCAGGGCATGAACAGGAGGGGATAAAAGGTTGGGCTGAAGAACAGGAAGGGCAGATGCTTGCAGCCTTCTGAAGTGATGTGATGGTTCTCTGTATGGGTTGAAGCTTTCTGGAATTGTGTGGTGATATTCTGTGTTTCGTGGCCATCTCAACTGCAACAATTCAATGATCCTTGAGATTCCAGAACTCTCTCTGAAGCTGTGATATTCAGGTGTGATGGAGAAGGGCTGCTTTTGTCATTGCAACCATACTAAAACTTAGGTGATGATAATTTTTAACAAAATGGCACTCAGTTGACACTGAAATGGTGGATTAAAGCAAGCAAGAGAGTGCTTAACCACTGCTGTGACCAGCTTTTTTAATTGAATACTGCAACAGTTATTTTTGTAAAAAAAATCAAGTTTTTATTTTAAAATCCTTCTGCTTTTGTGTTGTATAAACCCCTGGTTTTTAGAGCACAAAAAGAATTCACTGGATGTGTTGAGACAGCTATGAAATTCCATAGATTTCAGCAGCTCAATTTTGATATATTTTTAATGTCACAAAGTGACTATCTACAGATGTAGAAATATGTATGTGTAAGTGCAAGGTCAGGTTTTTTTCCAAATGCTAGTTTTAAATTATGTAACATCCCCCTCCACCCCCCCCACCCCCC